TGGAGAATAGGGTGCTAAAAAAAAAAAAAAAAAACTCAAAACTCAAAACGGAAACACATTTTTTGAGTTTACATTTTTTGGTTAAATTTATAAACTGAGACCCTTGATTTATAAATCAAAAATTTACCAAACAAGTTTTTATTTGACTTTTTAAAATTTTTATAAATATAAATAAAAAACTGAAAACGTAAGTGTTATCAAACGTCACCTAACTAATAAGTAATGTGAAATAATATTTCAAAATTACAAAATAATCACTGCTCAATACATGACCTTTTAGTCTCTGGAAAAGAACTAAAATCCAAGAGAGAGTCATTTCTATCAAATTGTTTCCACATATATAGTAAAGAAAGTGTGGAGGAAACAAAACACACTAACAGCAACTCAATATTTTAATTTAAAAATCAAAAAATTATTTAAAAAATTAAAAAAAAAACTAATCATTCATATTAAAAAATTAAAAGGTCTTTTTTTCTCTCTATTTTATAAATTTTTTCATAAAAAATTAAAAAAATTATTCAAAAATAACATATTTCTAAACATGGTCTAAATAGTTACCGTTACCCCCAACGGGAAATATTTCTAAACATGGTCTAAAATAAAAATCTTCTTAGAAAAAAAAGAAAACAAAGAAGGAACGGTTTTGTGTTATGTAGAAGCCACTCAAAGGACTGATTTGTTACAATTCATTTTTAAAGTTTAACAATACTTTTCTTAATTTTTAAACAATTAATTTTTTTCAATTTGTTTGAAAAAATAATTTTATGTCATAAATTATGAGGAAAAGTTATACTACTAAACATTCTGACACAATACTTAGGTCAAGTTTGGCATGATTGAAAAAAGACAAAAAGTCAAAAAGTCACTATCCTATTTAAGTCACATCATCTTATTTAAGTCACATCACCTCTCTAACACATCACTTCAAACCCAACCCAAACTCAATCCATATTTCATAAAAAGTCAAAAAGTGCACTTATTTAGTCTTCCCAAACTAGGCCTTATTATTTTATATATAGGTCATGTTTGGAAAGGTTTATTTTCAGCTTATTTTACCTTTTAGCTTAATTTAAGTTATTTTAATATGTTTGGTTCAACTTAACAATATTGATTATAGCTTTTTGTAAGTCAAAAATCAACTTATTTTTTAAGTGTGGGAGGAGAAACTTAATTTATAAATCAAAAATCAATTTATGTTCACAACTATAAGTTATAATCTGTTAAGTTATAATCTATAATTATTTTCCCACAGCTCTACCAAACGGAGCCATAATGCAAGTCCAGTGGAACATCATGGGGTAAACTTTTGATTTCTTTTCTCTTCAATAATGCTTGTTGCTATATGTCACCATTCAGATATGAAGACTGTGTCCTTGTTTTTGAGAAAGACTTCCACTGTGATTTGGACTTTACAGATGAAAAATAATTCATAAAATTGATAGTGATGATTTATAATTATAAATTCACAAAATGTCACTTTATTTTGTACAGAATTTGTGGAAAAGTTATGTTCATATAAGAAGAAGGGGACAAAGAGGGAAAAATTGAAAAAGAAACATTTGAAGAAATGGATTATTTCAATGTATAAGAAGAGAACAATTCCATTGTTTGGTTTTGAAGTGAAAATTCAATGACGATATGTGTTGAAACCCAGTAATTGAGTACGTTCTTTCTTTTCTTTTTCTTTTTAATCAATTAGACCAAGATTATTCATAAACAATAAAATAATTATATAAAATTAAACAATTAATCACCTAAAAAAAAAATCTTATTTTATTTTATCGAAATTCTTACCATGGAAGTTGTACTCTTGGACCTTGTAACTTGTAGTTTAAGCTTGTTTTGACAATTATTTAAAATAGTTTAAAAGTTAAAAAAAATCATTGTATTAAAAAAAAAAAATTCCTCTAATTTTTTACATATTTTTTATTAAAAAAATCAATAAAAAATAATTAAAATAGTCAATTTTTTAAAACATCTCATTAGTTTCATCAAAATGTGCAAAAATAAATAAACTGGAAATTCCAACTGAAAATATCTCACACACAAACAATGAAGAGAAAAGGTAGGGATCATGAAATTTTTTTCATGAAAATGATCATGAAAGATTTGTGACCTTTAGATTACCTTGATTAGTATGTGGTACTTTATTTTAAGTGTAATCCAAAAATCATAAAATTTTCATAATTATTTTCATGAAACTTTTTTCATGACACCTAGCAACAATGAAACAAACAAAGAGATGGGAAATTAATGTGTAGCATATACTGTACACCAACCAAGGAAGGTTATTTATGTCATTTCCACTTCCCCTCCTCCTTACACCACCGTACAGTTAGATTCATTCAAGAAGTTACAACGACAAGAGAGAGAGATAGAGAGTCTTTTAGCCCTTCAAAGAAAAAGCGAAAGAGCTAAAAATGAAGAAGAAGAAAATAAAAAAAAATAAAATAACAAAATAACTATTGCACACATTCACAACAGTTAATAATTAAACCATTTTGGGAAATAGATTAAAAATTAATTTTTTATTTTTTTTAATTTTTTTAAAAAAAATAAAATAAAAATAAAAAGATAATATAATTTAAAAAATTAAAAAGATTATTTTTAATCCACGTCCCAAAATAATCCTTAATTCCACAACAAAGACTCATCAAAACTACTGTGAATTACTCCCTCCGGCGTCGCCGCCACCTGGTCGGAAAAACACTCACAATCATTATCACCACTCTGCAACCACGGCGGAGGATAAAACCACCCATCAAGCGAGTCAACGTACACAAACTCACTGTTCAACTCGGCCGATTCGTAACTCGTTCCCAGACTCGGCAGCTCGACGATTTCGCTCAGTTCATTATCGGAAGTCGTCGACGACTCCATAGCTGAAACCGATGACGACGCCGGCGAGCCGAACATGTCCATCGCGGCGGCTTTGGCAGCAGCGGCTTGGACGTCTCGGGGAGAAAGAGAGTCGGGTCGGGGCAGAGACCCGGTGAGTTCGGGGAAGTTGAGGACGGCTGAGCTGCCTTTGATGCTCAGCGCGGCTACGTCGTGGGCTCGAGCCGCCATTTCAGGAGTCGGGAAGGTGCCAAGCCATATGCGCGATTTCTTGCGTGGCTCGCGGATTTCGGATACCCATTTGCCCCAGTTTCTCATTCGGACCCCCCGATAAACCGGGTTTTTACCGGAGTCTCTGATTCTCTTGATCTTCTTGGGTTCTGGGTTTTGTGACTTGGGTTGTTTTTTTGTGAGAGACTGAGTTAACCCAGGTGAGGATGGACATGATGAGAATGAGTTGGAGCTGCTTTCTGGTTCTGAATTTTGAAGTTCAAAGCTCATATTTTCTAGTGTGGGTAGGAGGTATATACACAGAACAGAGTACTTATATATATATAGGTATATTAATGCACAGAACAGAGAGAGGACTAAGAACAACAGTGATGGTACTTGTACAAGGTTTGTTTATCAGAAAGAGAGATAGAGATAGAGATAGAAATAGAGAGACAGAGATGAAGAAAGTGTTGGCAAAGAAGGGGAAGAGAAATGGAACCAAAGCTTCAGATATACAACTGAACAAGAAGGCCTTTTTCCATCATTTCCCAATGAGTCCATACAACACTTATATCGTACGAGAGAAATGGGGTCACCATGGTAGGTTCGGACCCTATGCTACAATGGGGTTAAACACCCTTATCAACCCACTATTAAATCAACTTTTATGATATGTTTTCACCCCCCTCATCCACTGTTCCTTTATCCCTCCCTTATCATGGCTTGGCAAACCCCCACTCACTCCCACCCCTTTGCCCATTGAGACCATCTCTTTCATCCCTTTGTTATTGGTTTAAGACGGGGGATTCGTAGTTATCATACATGTTGAAAACATTTATATCTTTTTTTATTATTATATCTATTAGTGGAAAGTAATTTTGTATAATCATGCTATTTAACTAAGCAAATTGAGCAAATTGAGTGGCGACCAAGTCTCCGGTCGCCCATTAACTTTGTAGATTAGACAGTTAAATTATTAAAATAATGTGTTCAGTCACTTAATTAACTTTGTAGATCAGACAGTTAAATCAATAAAATAATATTCCTAATTGATCACATCAGTTAATAGAGACTCACTATTTGAAATGGTAAGTTTAAAAGAAAAAAGTGCACAAATGTTAATTTTCATTATTGTCATTTTTTTTTAAATGTGATAGAATTTTCTCCCCACAGTATTCTTATACGAGATGTATATTCCTTTTAAAAATGTGTGTGTTATTGTTAGAGGTAAACAAAATCATTAAAGTAAAGCACCTACTATAAATTATCTCATAAAAATTTGACTTGTACAAAACTCTCTTTAAATTTTTAAAGTAACATTTTCAACACGTTTTGCAAACTTGTTAAAAACTTTTGGAAAATATTGTTCTTTGAGAAACATGCTTCTCATATTTTTCCATGCTCTTAAAATCTTATTTTTCAATATTAATATATAATTTTTCTAATAATTTCGATAGATATTAGGAAATACTATATATAAATAGAGTTTTTACTCTGATAAAATATATATATATAGATTTTTTATTGAATTTTCTTATTATACAATGGGCTTTACTATCTTTTTATCTTGTAGTAAGAAAATTTAGTAAAAAATCTATTTATACATAACGTTATATATTCCTTTATATTATTTTTCTTAAGGTTTTTAATACTTTTTTGTTATTATAATATTCTATTTAATCTTATATCACCAAACATTTCAAGTTCGACATAATATTTTTGGACCACGTTTAAGTTATCTAGAATCATTTGCCATATGGGTAACTATGCATTAATAACTAATAAAATATATTGCCCACACGCACAATAGTTTATGGAAAAAAATTTTTTTTCTAAAATTGAAACACTTACTATAGTAGATAAGACATTACAATGATCTAATCATACATTGGATCCCATTAACCAATTTGACCAATTTGATTGTCTTGTTTGATCAATCACACATTTTTATTGTTCCATTGATGCATATAGGCTTATCCTATCACAATAATATAAATGAGTTTTAGAAATTTAATTTTTTTTGTCTCTATAAGTATAAATTTGTTGTAAAAAATATTTAGGGATTAATTTCAGTTGTTACAAGACTAGTCGCTAAAAGATCGTCTCGAAAAGTCAAAAAATGAGCTTTTATGGACAAAATAACTTGGTGCCAAAAAGGTTTATTTTTTAAGAAAAAATTTTTGGTCCCAAAAAGTTAGTGATTCATCACTAAATGTTTAATTTTGTTGCTAAAAATAAAATAATAATACTTTTAGCAACAAAATATTTTGTCCCTCAAAAGTGATTTAGTCTCTAAAATTTTAATTTTTTATAGTGTATTTTATTTATTTTTTATTTTTTTATTAAAAAAATTATCTCATCACTAAAATAAAAATGTTAATGTAACGTGTGTGATATTATATTTGTTTTGATTGTATATTTCAAATAATAGGTTGTTATGAAAAAAAAAAAAAAAAAAAAAAAAAAATTTGTTTCGAGCTCCAACTTATGATAGACTAGTTAAAAAATATACAGGCTTGGTTGGTGTAGTTAGCCTTTTATTTATTGTTTTTTATTTTTTATCTTTTAGTTTATAGAATTAGGCAACTACTATACACTCAACTTTGTAATTATACATTAATTGATGATGTGGCACCACCTACATGGTCTTTTTTTTTGTTTTTTTAAAATTAAATAGTGGTTATTTAGTATCTCTTGAGGCACTAACTAGGGTGTATATACAATGTCACCATGTCTTGTAACCTGTGGCCTGTGTTGATTTGGTCCCAACTTGGAAGGGAGGGAACAACTTGAAGATTTCAACAATGGGTCCAGACCTCTAGGGGAGAAACTTGAAAGTAATGCCTTGTGGTGATTATTTCAATCGATTGTGTTGAGTGCATGGGTAGATGTTTTGTCTTGAGAAGTATATTTTCAAAACAATATTGTGAATTTTAAATTGTTTTATTTTCACTTAAAAAAACTATCTAACATATTCGATTTATAAGATAAATTGTATGTCGCTATTTTTTAATGATTATGTGTACTTCATTATTAGATATGCAATAACTTGATACTGGTGCGATGTCGGTCAAGATACATGCAATGTCTAAGCTAAAGAGCCTATGTAATTATATACCTTTGAATGAGGAATTAGTTCTTTACATAGAAATAACTGATCAACATTTGGTTAAGCATTGTAATCTTTTGATTTTTTTGATTATCCCATCCCCTATGCATCCAAATTATGTTTCCTTATTGGAGAGAATTCTAGCTGGACTTTAGGTGAAAGTAATTTTTTTTTTTTTGTTTGTTGGAGGGGGGATTCTTGACAAAGTGTTGGTAATCAAGACATCATGTTTTTATGGGCTAAATTATAAATATATTCATCTGATCTATCTTGTGACACTAACACGATCGACGGATTGAGCTATCACAATGAAGAATTATACGTAAGGGATTGAATTGGAATTTTCTTCCTTCTAATTTGATCAAGGGGAAAGGTCATATTAAACTTCATTATTATTATAAATAAATAAAAAACGTGATTAGATTTTTGTGTTCAAATATGTAAATTTACATTTTTAAACGAGTTAGCTCCCCATTTCCCTTTCCTTGTCCCCCACCCCCCAAGTTATTTGGAAGCCCGAAAGGAAAATGATTCCCACTTCCTCTTTCTTTCCCCCTCCTTCCCACCAACACAAGAAACCACTTCTGATTTTCTTTCCTTGGCCGAAAGGAAAATGTTTTTCCGCTCCTCTCTTCCCTCCCCCTCATTTCCCATTGAAAATAAATAAATAAATAAATTCGACCACTGAAAACCCAATTTTCACCATACCAAACACACCATTGAGAAACCAACATAAATTAGCAAAATGGATGGACTTGATCACAAGGTTACAATGAGAAGAGTATGGTGAAGAAGCTAGAAGATGGGGCATATGTAGGGCTTGGTTTTATGAGAAAATTGATCTGATAATTGCTTCATGATTTATGGTTTTTCGAAGAAATCAATACTATGAACCGATGATTGTCCAAGATGTTAGGAAAGGACAGTGAGACAAATGGTGACTATTGGTTTGTTTTTATCTTTGTAATCGTCTAGGGACCATCACAATAGTGATAAAATATATATATATATATATGTCCATGAACACGAAAAAAATATATCAAAACCACATGTTTTCAACTGGTTATACAAAGCCCTTTAGTATTATTATTATCACTCTTGACATAGATTTTGGGGGAGTTCATGTGTTTGGTTTTTGTTCTTTTCTCCCTGTTTTCTTCCTTTGTTTTTTTTTACTGTTGTGGTTTTTTTTTGTGGTGGCAATTGATTGGGTTTGCTTTTTGATGTCAGTAATAAAACGACATATTAACGCCTAATTGAATTCAAGAAAGTCTCTGACAAATCAATCCCGCTACATACACCCAGTGACGTAGCGACCCCCAGTGACGTGGTGATGAGGTGGCAGCTGATGTGTAAACACAGCTGGAAAAAAAAAAAGAAGGGAAAAAGCGGGAATTTCTGTCTTCCCTCGTCTTCCCTCGTATGTCCTCAACTCTCGCCACCATCCTCGTCTATCCTTGTCTGTCTTCCCCCGCCTATCCTCACCTCTCGCCGCCATCCTCCTCCTCCACCATAGCTTGTCGGGAATTTCTGCAAAAACTAGTGGCTAGTCTTTCTCCAGAAGGATTGAAATTCTCTGTATGGGTTGTGGAAGTGGGTCTCAGATGTTAACTCATTTCTTCAAAAGAATGTGAAATTTCCTCCTCCTCCACCATATCAGATTACTAGCTCTCATCTATCCTCAGAATTCCTGTAATTTTGCTCTGTCTGGTTTTGCTCTGCTCTGTCTCTGTCCATCAATCTGGTTTATGAGGTAAAAAAATCAATTTCATATGCTAATCTTTCAGTTATATGCTAATTCTGAAATCTGAAATATAATCTGTAAACTATAATCAATTTGTCATTTTGGACAAGAGTTATGTTTTTTTGGTAAATCTGTTAGCTGTGGACAAATCTGTTAACTGATCTGACTAACTTGGCTACACTAGATTGACATAGTGAAACATCACCGTTAGTGAGTTGGCTCTAGGTGGTAATCGTCACTGAGTTCCTACAAGAGCAAACCCCTTCATAGATTAAAATAAAGATAATAAAAATATATATGAAAAAAGTGGGGGCCTCCATTTTCTTGGATCCCTTCTGCATAGAATTGCAATTACTAAGTGTGAAATGAAGTTTCGTCCACTGTTACCTTGCATTGATAGTGCATATTGGAACTCCACTCTTCGAACTCCGGCACTCTGTTTGGCTACAGTCCGTGGCCCTCCAGCCAAGAAAGGCATGCTTGGTAGCAAAAAGATAATATGGGCATTATGCTCAACTAGAATATGCGTGAAATTGTATCCCTCAACATTTTACTTATGGATTTTCTGCAACCATAGCACCATTTTAACCAAATACAATTTATATAATTTTTATCAGTAATTATGCTCAACTGTGGTAGCAAACTTCATAATCTGTAATCTGTAAGCTTGGTAGCAAACTTCATAAGCTTGGTAGCAAACTTCATATAATTTCCATAATCTGTAAACTGTGTAGTTCCATAATCTGTAAACAGTTTATATAAAATCTGAAATATGAAGTTTAGTTCCATACTCTGTAATGATATTTGTTTAATTGTTATTTCAGTACGCAAAGTACAGAAATGGAGGTTGATTCAAATGTTGAAGGTGAGA